AAAAAAAAAAAAAAAAAATCAGCCAGGCATAGTGGCATGCGCCTGTAATCCCAGCTACTTGGGAGGCTGAGAAGGAAGGATCGCCTGAGCCTGAGGCTGAGGCTGCAGTGAGCTGACTGTGTCCCTGCACTCCAGACTCTGGCTCAAAAAAATATGTATTGACTTTCCCCATTCCAGGTCTGGCTACCCCAGCCCATGTCTTCCCCGTCACAGTCCTGGTAACTTTCAGACTTGGGCATTCTCTGAAGGCTTGGTGACTTCCCAAAGGGCCCCGCCCTACAGGTACTGGGGGCAGAGTATGCCTGGCCCACCTGGGGATGGCAGGGACTCACCTTTGCAGGAGGAAGTTGCCCCAGATGAACAGCAGGTTGTTGTACGGGTTATAGGACATGCCCTTGGGTGCCATCGAGGTGTTGGTGTATGACTCTGTCCCTAGGATCATCAGGAACGCCAGGCCTCCAGCTGCCAGGGCAGAGGAAGAGAGGACATGGGGGGGGCGGGGCTACCCAGGCCCCTCCTCGCCCACGCACACCTTTGAGACCCCCTCTGCTTTCCTCTCCTACCTTCAGGGACAAATGCTGGAATGGTGTAGAGGATCTCCAGGTCATCTTTCGCTACAGGAGGGGAGAAAGCAGCACAATCTCCTGAGGTCCTGAGCTTGCAAAACCTGAGGCCAGGGCAAGTCACATTCCCAATCCCCATGACGCCCTCCAATGGCATCCCATTTGGGGCTGCTAGGCCTTGGAGTTTCTTTATGTGAGTTACAAAAAGGCACTGCCTATGAGAGGATACTATCCTGTTAGGACACAGGACTTGTCTCTTCTGACTCTTGGCTGGAGGGTTTTGTGCAGTGCACAGCCTGTACAGCTGTATATAATGGCCCCATTCTCAGTGCACGTAAAATAACCACATCTCCTTATTATAAGCTACAAGGCTCTTCCAGATCTGGCTTCTGCTCACTTCTCCCATCAAGTTCCCTCCCCTCTTCCCTCTGTTCCAGTCACACTGACTTCCTCAGTTTCTCCAGCCCACCATGCCTATACCCTGTTGTCTACCACGACTCCTTATCCATGAATGAGGTGGGCGGCATTTTCTCCCCTCTGCCTGCTGCGCACAGATCCCCCAGCATGGGCACACAGTCCAGCCTGGGCCCTGCCCCTGTGCCCAGCCCCCGGCGTCGCCCTGATTACCGATGTTGTATCTGACCACCTGGCAGTAATTCACGGCGGTGGGGTGCTTATGCTCCACCAGCAGCAGGAGTTGACGGCCGCTTGGGAGGTACTCGGCCCAGATGATGGAGCACTTGTCAACTGAGAGGAGATGGGAAAGCCCAGGGCAGCTCTGTTAGCCCACGGTGGCCTCAGTCCGGGGACTGCCATGGCCCTCCCCATAGCGCGCCCCCCCAAGACAGAGCCATGCTTTCCCGTTACCTCTCTCCCCCCACCCCTGCTCTCCCACACCCTCAGGCCCCCTATGTCCCCGCTGCAGACCCATCTGGAAGATGAGAACCTCCTATCTGTTCACACACGGACTGTTGCCTGGGGAGCATCTCGAAGGAAACCTGGCCATCTGCAGAGCAAGGCAGGATTCAGGATCAGACTCCTCCATCCTGTCCGGGCAAACCAGCTGTCCAGTGGTCCTCCTCATGCCTCCCAGTCCTTCCTCCTCTGGATTCAACGCAGACCTCACCCCTGCCTTTCCTCACTTACACCTGGCCTATCCGAGCATGTCTGTGGTTACAGTTCATTGGCTCAGGTCTGGCCATGTGACTCACAGCGGGCCAATCAGAGGGCACCCTGGGACTTGTGCTAGAATTAATGGGATAACCCCCAGAGTCCTAAGGAGACAATGCCCCCCAAAACAGCCATCAGACAGACAATGGAACTCTCCCAGAACAACTGGCCTCAGAAGACAGCTACAGACATCAGGGACAGGATGGAAAGAATGAACGAGAACCAAGAAAAACTAGAAACAAAACTGAATAAAATTGTAACAGATTGGCCCTTCTAAAAAAAATGCCAAAATATTGGATAAAATTAATGGGAAAGAAGAGAGGCTGCTCTCATTCTCTTGGGTGACTCAAACTGGCGAGTGACTCAAGTCCCAAGTTTTTAGGGCCAGCTTTAATTCCTATGGAGGAATATCTACCTGAAAACAAAGTCAAATTATGGGGCTAATAATAATAAACCCTTCTATAGCACTGTTCTAAGACCTTTATGTATACCAATTTCTTAAATTTTTTTTTTTGAGTTGGAGTCTCACTCTGTCGCCCAGACTGGAGTGCGGTGGCATGCTCCCAGCCACCGCAGCCTCAACCCACTGGGCTCCAGCGATCCTTCCACCTCAGCCTTCCAAGTAGCTGGAACTACAGGCACGTGCTACCACACCCGGCTAATTTTTGAATTATTGCAGAGATGAGGTCTTGCCAAGTTCCCCGGGCGAGTCTCGAACCTGCGGGCTCAAGCAATCCACTCACCTCGGCCTCCCAAAGTGCTGGGATTACAGGCTGCGCCACCAAGCCTGGCCTCTTAAATCTTTATATCAACCCAATGAAGTAGATACTAGTACTATCATTAGCCCCATTTTGGAGATGAAGAAAATGAGATCAGAGAGGTCAAGTCACCTGTCCAAAGACACAGAGTGAAAGTGGGATGGTACAGTCTCTCTCCAGCATCTGTGCCTGTATACACTACCTTGCCAAGAAACCATCCTGATGATATTCCCTGTGAGCCCCTAGATCCAGTCATGCCTTAAGTTGGACTCTGGTATTTTCATTTATAGAAGTCCACAAATTCTTTGTTCTTAAATTATTTTTGATTTGGGCTTCCGTCCTTTTAAACTCAGCATATCATGCAAGAAACATAACTCACACCACCAAGGTCTACCTCTACAAATGCATAAGTCCATCCCCCATCACAGGGACAAACTTCAGCCTAAGACCTCTCCTGCGGGCACATGGTGAGGAGTGAGGGCCCAAGCTCAGAATCCTTGGAGGTAAGAGAGTACAGAGGGGTCTCTTGGGCTGCCAGAGGCTCCACCCTTACCTGTGATGGTCCCAAAGTGGACATAACCCTCGTGCTTGCCGGTGGTGAGAGCCATGATGTACTCAGAGCCGTTGCCATGGAAATGCGCCGGGCATAGCATCTTGATACACTCAGTGGCCAGGACACGAACCCACCTGCCTAGGGGGCCCAGCATGGGGTCTCAGGCCCAGGTGGCTGGACCAGGGGCCAGCGCTCCAGCCCCACATTTCCCTGGTCTTAGTGAGCTGGCTATTTGTCCTCTCATGCTGAAGCACCTGGTCAGTGGGGTGTTGGGAGGCCCTGGGCAGAGGCCTTTGGGAAAATCCTCCTTGTTCACACTCTGTGAGGTATAGATCAATTTGGTCTCTCCCTTGTACTCCCCTGGCCGGAGTGATGGGTTCTGAGCTGGGCATGTGACCAAGCTGGGCAAGCCAGAGACAGGTCCAGCTTGCAACCACCCACAAAGATCTCACCCCCGCCCCGCCGGGCTCGGTGGCTCAGCCTGTAATCCTGCATCTTTGGGAGGCTGAGGTGAGTGGATTGCCTGAGCCCGTGGGTTCGAGACCCTCCTGGGCAGCGAGACCTCATCTCTACAATAAATCAAAAAATCAGCCAGGTGTGGTAGTGCATGCCTGTAATTCCGGCTACTCGGAAGGATGAGGCGGAAGGATCACCGGAGCCCAGCAGGCCGAGGCTGCGGTGGCTGGGAACAGCCACTGCACTCCAGTCTGGGCAACAGAGTGAGACTCCAACTCAAAAAAAAAAAAGATCTCACCCCTGGGAAGAAAGATGCTCTTTCCAGGGCTACTGAAGGATATAAAAGTCTGCAGTTCTGGGTGGGGATAGGAGTCATCATGGCACCCCAAGGAGGTGACTAACAGTGACAGTAAGCCCCCAGATCCAACTGTTCCTGAAACTATCATGCTCCTGGACTTTTCAGCTATGTATGCCAATAAACATCCCTTTTATCTGGCTTAAGCCAATTTTGATTTGGTACCTTTCTTTTTTTTTAATTTTTATTATAAAGATGTGGGGTACAATTCAGCTTTAGGTATATAAACACTGATCATGCAGGTACCCTTGTAATTTGGTACCTTTCATTGTCAAGGTGCCCTAAATAAGAATGGGAGGCCAGGCGCGGTGGCTTACACCTGTAATCCCAGCACTTTGGGAGGCGGAGGTGAGAGGATTGCCTGAGCCCATGGGTTTGAGACCAGCCTGGGCATCTTGGCAAGACCTCATCTCTACAATAAATCAAAAAATTAGCCGGGTGTAATGGTTCCAGCTACTTGGAAGGCCTGAGCCCAGAAGATCGAGGCTGTGGTGGCCGTGAGTGTGCACTGCACTCCAGCCTGGGTGACAGTGATTCTGACTCAAAAAAAAAGAATGGGAGACAGTGAAGCTGTTGGGAACAGGCATTAGCAATGAACTGTCAGGGTTTTTTTTGTTTTTTTGTTTTCTGGTTTTGTTTTTGTTTTTTGAGTCAGAGTCTCACTCTGTCACTCAGGCTGGAGTGCAGTGGCACACTCACGACCATTGCAGCCTCGACCTGCTGGGCTCAGGCACTACTTCTGCCTCAGCCTCCCAAGTATCTGGAACTACAGGTGTGTGCTACCATGCCTGGCTAATTTTTTGATTTATTGTAGAGATGAGGTCTCGCCAAGATTCCCAGGCTGGTCTCCAACTCCCAAGAAGTCCTCTAACCTCCACCTTCCAAGTGCTGGGGTTACAGACATGAGCCACCATGCCTAGCCATGAAATATCAGTTGCAGTACAATTTTTGGTTATCCTATAAACTGACATTTCTCATGTAAATGGAGAAAAAAACTAGAAGAAATAGAAGGGGCTTGGGAGGCCGAGACAGGAGGGTTACTTGAGCACAGGATTTCGAGACCAGCCTGGGCAATACAGCAAAACCTTATCTCTACAAGAAAATTAAATTTAAAAGTTAGCTAGTCAGCCGGGCTCAGTGGCTCAGCCTGTAATCCTGCGCCTTTGGGAGGCTGAGGTGAG